ACTCAATTATCTTTATCTTCGATCTATCTGCATATCGATCTATTTATGCAATCGCGCTGGTTTTTCTCGCCAGGCTAATATACTAAAAAAGAGGGCGTCTCGAACAAACTCGGGCCTCCCCGATAATTCGTGATCTTTCCAGAAACTCCAGCGCGCATGCTCCTAGCGTCATGCGACTTCCGCTGTAGTAACAATATATATCATATATCTCTTTTTGGGCAAAGTAGGTGAAAGATTCTCCCGCTGCTATTTTGTGTGTATGTGTTAATGTACGTGATTATAACAAAGTATTTTAGTTCACTTCTGTTTGTATTACAATTTCCATAACTAGAATAATTTTGTGTCACAAAAAAAGAGATTTATTAAATTGTGTAAAAAATCATTTATTTATGTAGTTGAATTTCAGTCTGAAAGAACTCAACGCTAAATTATTTAATGTGATGCACAAAGTCTCATAATTCGAGAGTATTAACACGGATTAAATTTAAAAGGCCCAACTTTTTTTGTTCTATGTAACATAATTCTGTTTATTTTTAACGCAAAATCTGCCCTGTGGCCACCGTGGATATCAAATATCGAATGTCGAGCTTCCTCGGCTATAGTAAAAACAAAAAACATGTTACTTAGTGTTATTAAACATTATTTTGAAAGTTTCAGACATTTTTCTATCTTCGAAGACGATTATTGATATTTAAATATAACACGTTAAAGTGCGTATGTAACGTGTGCCAACCTTTTCCTCTTATATTCTGTGGACGAACTAGGTATTTTATAACTTGAGAATTTCTTCTATAATATTTGTTTGGAACGTCTAGACTTTTCTCTTAACGTTAGGTCTGCTACAAGATTTGTTGCATACTGTTTTAGGCTATTTGAATATATTTTTTTCTTTTAATTTAAGAAACTTTTATTAAACTAAGAGCTAGAGAGAATTTTGACATCACCGTCCCGACATATGTAGGAAGCGATTTGAGCGATGTAAACTTCGAAATAGTTGAGACTATATGAGACTATTGATTGATTTGTATGTCTGTTATGGTAGTTGGATTAATTATTAAGTTAATGCGTTTGTTACTCGGTTTGTCTGTTATTTCATTTTCGCGAATCTTGAGCTTTTGTTTCAACATCAGATATAAGAAGTGCCACACATACCTGAAAATTAACAAGAGAGTGAATGTAGCGTTATTTGTTAACTTAGGCCTATCGTTAGATCGTAAAACAGTCGTTACCGTTAAGTGGAATAGATTATGCATTATGTATTTCACCGAATAACCAAAAAGAACTTGCTCAACTAAAGAACCCTTAGAACACAAATGATGAACATGAAAAATCAGTTTCTTTGGAGTTATTATGATCAGGTAATTATTTTTACTTAATGCAATTCAGTTGAAGCTAGGCAGT